ATAATTCTTGCAACAGGGCCTGGAATTTTTCTTGTTCACGAGTGATCCTTGGAGAGGTCCGTCTTCTTGATGAATTTCTTCTTGATTGAGATTCACTTTCTTGCACGTTGGTGTCATCCCCGCTATTTGCATTAGATTGATTCTCCAAGTTATCCTGTGTATTAGTGGCGCGGATTTCATCATTAGAATTAGCTTGATTCTCCGGAGTTCTGGAGATATAAAAGATGAGAGTGAAAACTGTTATTGCATAAATATACGCGAGAATATCCAGAGGCGTTATGCATGAATTTGCACTGCTTACCTATTATCAACAGAATTAGACCGGTTATCATCGTCATCATCATCCTCAATCATGATTGGGCTTGTCGCCTGATCCTGCATAGTGACTTGCTTCGATTGACTCTCTTGTCCAGCACGAGAGCCACCTTCTACCAATCCTAGCGAAGACATGAGCTCCTCATTACCCTGTCCAGTGCCAGTTTGTTTTTTCTGAAGATGATATTTTCCAGAGGCGAGTACTGCCTCTTCTCTAGTCAGCTCAATGATTACATTACATGAAGGGCATGTAAGAGGTGGTTCGGTTTCTGCTTGCATAATATACTTCTCAAGACATTGGCGGTGGAAAAGGTGTTCGCAATCCAACACAACAAACGATTGAAATCGGAATTTTAGGATTACTCTTTGGCAAATACTGCAAGGATTGAGTTTCGGAATTCTGGTGGGGATAGTTGAAATCTCTTGATTTCGAAGATAATTTAATGCAAGTACTTCGAGTTGGGAAGGCTCAGAAGTATCTGTTTGAATTTCAGAAGTGCTGGTCGAAGGTTCACTGGCTATAGTGGCGCTCGAAGGTTCACTAGCCATAGGGATGAATTGTAAAGAGTGAAGTGCGAAGTGTGAAGTAATTTCCCCATGTTCACTCCTACTTATATTACTTTCATCTCCGATCAAAGATTTTCAGGGCGATAAGTTAACACTTTTTTTGTTTCACATCCTCTATCTTGTTCCGCAAATATAGTAAGTATATTGTCTTTTTTTCGAATAATTATGAAAAAAAAGGGCTTAATATTAAGCTCGAAATTACTGAAATATCAATCTTGCAAGCAACGCACCTATCTTGTTTCCCATACACTAAGGATCCGCCGTGATCGTTGCAAAACACGAATGTCCCTGGATCTTCGTTGACAATCCAACTTATCGAGCACGAATAAGATTTCGGCCCTAAATGCCCTGCATTAGTGTGTGTACGATCAAACTATCAGCATAAATAATCCTTATCAATTCGTCCATTACTACTCTGCTATCCATATGCGAAGAGTTAATCAGTGCAAGCTTTTTATTTGCAATACATCAGCTTCATACATGATAGACTATCCTATTCATTGCGTCTATTCTATCCACCACCCAATAACCCGCTATATTCATTGTTTTTCATCCTAACCTCATCTATCGTGACGCTAACGAGAACCTTGAAAGGGAAACTATGTATTAGTTACAAGCTCTGAAGACGCTATCTTGCAAATGCTCAGCCTAACCGAAAGTAAACCTACCCTTAATTGTGTAATGTCTCGTCCGACACTTCGCTAAGTAAGTTTCATCATTATTTTCATTGGCACTTTTTCACACTGAGATACGCAGTGAGTATGCCCGTTATATTTACATAGTTGCAATATTCGTATTTACGGTTGGCTTACTTCGGGAAAGGAAAAAAAAATTAATGCGAATATATATATATGCCAATCGCACGTCGCACAGCCCACTATTCATTCGGCAAGATTTTTTTCCGGCGCATTTCAGGTGATCGGGTTTAGTCTCTTTTGGATAAGCCACCCACGTGATTCGAAAAAAGATAGTATGTGATTTCGTCTCCTAGGCGGTTACCGGACTGTGACCAAACATTCATGACACTGATGCTTTAGCGCCTGATTCGAAAAATTGTTCTGGCTCAACTAGGTGAAGAACTTTTTGACCGTAAATTAAAGATAAGTATATCTTAGTATCTTAGTAAATATCTCTCCTCTGGTCTAGCTATGGAACAAAACTTACTAATCGATGATGCTGACGATGGATTCTGGCTGTTTGATGGTGTCGACGAAGATGATGTTGGCATCGAAGACGATGTTGAGTATCCTAGTAAATCATATAACGGGTGGAATTATAAAAAAGATTTTGGTGAAGATACTTTGAAAAAGCTTTATCGAGACCGGGAAGCTCGTCAACGTTTTATCCTTCTTAGACTATTTACCATGCGCCTTCCCAATATATCTGATCAAGCAAAAAATGGATTATTTATCGCATTTTCTAGATCTAATTCATTTGGTGTATTAGAACACAACGCATTATTGGATGCTCTAGCCCATCCTGTGAAAGGTTTAAATCTTTTCGAATACGATGAACTCGGGTTTGATCTAATAAACAATGCAAAGATTCAATAAATCAAGCTCTAATGAGTAACTGACATTATTTTTTTCACAATGGGAATTATTCAATAATGCAATTCTCACGTCACACAGCCCGGAAATGATATCGTACTGCGCATTTTTTCAGGTGATCGATTTCACATGACCGGTCTATGCTACGATCGCGAATTTGATTTTATTGCTTGAAGTGAAGCAAGTAAGACAATATTCTGTTCCATTCCTATACCATTCGCCATGTAATCCATAATTCCCATGTTTTCCATCGCAAATAGGACATGGTGAGCTCCACGGCTGAGGTGATGTAAAATTATAATTATCAATCCCTCTGAAACTATTTCGGAATTTCAAGTATGTGAAATGCTCTAACACGGATTTGATAATTAACTCTGAATCAGGTTTGGCTTCGAAGGCGATAGGCTTGAAACCAGAGGCTTGAGGTTCTGCTGACATACTAGTCATGGCTTCTGGTAATTGCCATGGTTCACATCCAGTTTCTTTCTTATATGTTTTATATAAATTAGAACGAATCTTGTCCGTCAAAATGGTTGGTAAACCAGTTAATTTGGCATGCCAATCCAGATACTCAAGGGTTAATACTTTATCGGACTTGGTCATGTTGCTGTTTTATATAATCGCAAATCAATTTAAATCCCTTTTTTCTCATTAATTCGAAAATTCTCAGATAGAAAGTTGTCTTACCATATTTCCAAAAAAAATAGTTAGATCATCTTCCGCAAAAGCTAAGCTTCAAGGGAGGGTAATAAAACTATGCAACTATCTCAATTTCGTGCTGTTCACATTTAATAAAATAGGATTCAGCCTTATATCTACCTTCTAGATTTTCTTCATCATTATGATCTAACTTGCATAATAGGCATGATGCCTCATCAGTAATGCCATAATAATCAAATTTTTCACTACTATATTTCCTATATAAATTAGGATATTGTTACCCAACTATTGATTAGGCAGACTGAAACACTTAATCAATTGAGTAGCAGCAAGATTTAGCTCAATCTTTAGTAAGTTTTGGGAGAGACTTCGGTAA